AGTATGGTCTCTGTTTTCATAGACTAATCCTTTTCTAGGGGAACCTTTTGATGTATCTCAAGATTCGAATCACCGCATCTCAATGACTATCACGAGGGGAGTTAAGAAATTGGCTTACAATGCTTTCAGGAAAAGATATGTCTAGCCTAGTCATAGTAAGATAATTCAGCTTCTCGACTAGTTTTCGGTATCGATTTAGATCTGAATATAACTCCCCTTGATCCGGCATAAGTTTGACATTTGGATCCATAGGGGTATTAACTAGCTTACAATCCAACATTTTTGTTTCCTGACACCAGCTTTTGATTGAGCTACTTCAATCCCAAGGAAATATCGCAATCAACCCAAGTCCTTAGTTTGAAAATGTTGAAACAAATATTGCTTGAGTCGGGTGATACCATCATGATCATTGCTTGTGATAACAATGTCATCTACATAGACAGTAAGATAAATGCACTAGTTAGTAGAAGAATGTTTATAAAACACAGAATGGTCTGCCTCATTACGAGTCATCCCAAACTGTTGAAGAACTGTACTAAATCTGCCAAACCATGCTCGAGGACTTTGTTTAAGGTCATATAGAGCCTTACGTAACTTGCAAACAAATCCTTGGGACTCCTTCTGAGCAACAAAACCAGGAGGTTGCTCTATCTAAATCTCTTCCGCTAGATCACCATGGAGAAATGCATTTTTAATATCGAGTTGGTAGAGGAGCCAGCAATGTGTGGCAGCCATGGATAAAAAGAAGAGGCGAACTGAAGTCATTTTTGCAACAAGTGAGAAGGTGTCACCATATCCAAGTCCAAAAATCTGTGTGTAGCCTTTAGCGACTAATCAAGCTTTAAGCCGATCAATTTGTCCATCTGGACCCACCTTAATGGCAAACACCCAACGACAACCAACTGTAGATTTCCCAGGAAGAGAGAACAAGTGTCCAAGTCTGGTTGGATTCTAAGGCCTGCATCTCGTCAATCATAGCCTGTCGCCACCCTGGATGGGAAAGTGCTTCCTTGACTGTTTTAGGAATAGTAATAGAGGAAATAGCAAACACGAAGGCGCAATGGGAAGAGGATAAACGATGATAACTCAAGAAATTATAAATGGGATGAGGATTTCGAGTTGAATGTGTACCTTTGCGAAGGGCTATTGGCAAATCAGCAGGTGTGTTAGATGGATCCGGGGTAGGTAGAGCAACTGGCGTAGGAGATGAGCTGCCTGAATCTTCCAAAACTACTTCCTCTAGCGGAGCAAGATGAGGTCTACGCTGGTATGTAGCCAAGGGATAAGGAATAGCAGGTGAAGAGGGATTAGGAGGCTCTGGCACATCAGAGGTTGAAGGATTAGTGACAAGGGGAATATAGTAAGGAATGGAAAGAACCTGGAAAACAGAGCTTGGAGAGACTGATGTATTGAAATATGGTGTATCTTCAAAGGTGACATCGGCTGACATATAGAAGCGATGACTGGATGGGGAATAACACCTATATCCTTTCTGCAGCCGAGAGTAATCCAAAAAGAGACACTTAACAGCACGAGCAGATAATTTATTAAGTCCTAGAGTGAGATCATGGACAAAACAAGTGGAACCAAAAACATGTAGGGGAACTTTAAACAGAGAGTTATTAGGGAATAAAAATGAATGAGGTACTTTGTTATTTAAAGTAGAGGATGGCATCCTATTTATTAAAAAAGTTGTTGTAAGGACAGCATCACTCCAAAATTTTAAAGGTACATTAGCATGTGACAAAAGAGTTCGAGCAATTTCAATAATATGACGATGTTTTCTTTCTGCAATGCCATTTTGTTGAGGGGTGTTTGGACAAGTGGATTGATGCAACATGCCATGAGAAGTTATAAAATGATTAAAAGGTGCAGAAAAATATTCTTTGGCATTGTCACTATGCAAGATTTGAATAGAGCTAGCAAATTGTGTTTGAATTTCATTACAAAAATTCTGAAAAATTGTAAATAATTCTGAATGCTCTTTCATTAAGAAAATCCAAGTACATCTTGAATAGTCATCAATAAAAATAACAAAGTACCTATGCCCTAAGATAGAATTAACACGACTCGGACCCCAAACATCTGAATGGACAAGATCAAATGGAGATTTTGCTTTACCATGGACAGCACTTGGAAAGGAGGCTCAAATGTGTTTACCTAATTGACATGACTCACACTTCAAAGACTGTAAATGAGAGAGGTGAGAAACCATGTGCTTCAATTTATTTAGACCTGGATGACCTAGGCAACGATGCAAGAGAAGGGGGGAATCTGCAACAATGCAAACAACTGAGGTAGGAGGCTGGAAATAATAGAGACCATGCGATTCAGATCCTACTCCAATCGTCTGTCCTGTACTCTGGTCCTATATAGAGAAAGATTCAGCAGTAAATGTTCTGGAACAGTTATGAGTGCGAGTAAGTTGACTGATTGAGACTAAATTAAAGGGGCAACCAGGTACAAGAAGAACAAAATTCAAGGATAAATCAAGAAGAGGGGTAGTTTGTCCAATGCCAATGACATTAGCTTTTAAGCCATCAGCAAAGGTGATGTGGTGTGCTGTTTTAGGTTGTGACAGTTTTGAGAAAAGAGAAGGATTACCAGTTATGTGGTCAAAAGCACCATAATCTAATATCCAGGGTCCAACATACGATGAATGAGAGAGGCAAATTGTAGAGTTACCAAATTAAGCAGTGGCAGAGGAAGATTGTTGTGCTGCCATCTTCAGCTGGAGGTACTCCTTGTACTCCATATCTGATAGAATATTGTGGTTGTCTCCTCCAAGGTCAATTTGCTTTTCCACAGTGGAAGACTGAGAATATGTCACATTAGCTGATTTCTCGGGAAACCTAATCAAGGAATAACACTTATCTTGAGTATGGCCCATACGTTTACAATAGGAGCATTGTGGACAATTTCCAAAACTGCGAGCTCCTCTTCCACCACCTTGACCACGACTTCGACTCCACAGCTGATCACATTAGAGAAGAATGCAGAAGACTCTAAACCTGGTTGCGAACCATTTCCTATAGTTTCTTGAAAGGGAACACGCAACAGACAATGAATGAGATTCTCTGCTGTAGATACACTGGAATTTGTCAAAATTTGGTTTCGAATTCAAAATCTTTGTGAAGGCCATGAAGGATGAACACCATGCACATGTTATCAATCTTGTCTAAGACTTTTTGAAGGTCATTTCCTGTCAAAACCAATTTTACTTCATCAATGGTGGACTGTGCTTTGTTCAAATATTATGGGAGATTGTGATTTGTCATTTGAAGTGCAGCTAAATTATGTACAACATCTTAGAGACGCTGAACATCATTTAAATAGACACTACAAGCTTTCTTCCATATATCGTAACATGTCTATAAGTGCGAAAGTGGACTAACAACTTCGAATCAATGGACTGCCATAAAAGTGAAACTAACTGATAATCAGCCTTCTTCCACTAATCTCGTTCAGTGGGATTAATGTCACTTGCCGTCTTAGTCAAATGGTCAGAGAGACCTTGACCCAAAAACCATATTTCCACCACAGCTTGCCAATCTATATAATTTTTCCCATTAAGTTTCTCTGAAGTTATGGATGGATTTCCAGAGAAGACAAAGGATACGAGATTTTTGATTAAGGGTCCAGTGCTGTCAGGGGTCGCAGTTGACTTAGTTGAGTCAGAAGCCATGACTAAGCTTGGTGAGAGACAGAGGAGACTAAATACAGCTCACCAACCGGGAAAGGGACACCCAGAAGAGACAGAAGGTGTGCCGACAAGGTGAACGGGACCAGCGGCGAGACAAATGGAGTCGCGTAGGGCGGTGCATGGCTTTCACGCGCCGACAACCTAGTTTTCTGGTAACCGCACGTGGGACACCACGAGATGACGGCGATCGGTGGGGCAGCTGATCGGAGGCTTCTGGGGCTAGTAACGAAGTCATAGGCCAATTGGTGGCTGGACGTTGGGACAACTAGGGTTGGTGGTACTGTGCGACACTGTAGATTGTTTTATCAGGCCCACAGAATGTGAGCTCTGATACCAACTTGAGACAGAAAAATAATTAGGGTAAAAACTTAGTCCTTCACTTGTTATTCAGAGTTTCTTATAATATAAATTTGTACAAAACTAGATCCCTTGATTATATGAATTGACTAGGTAATTACAGCAGAATCCTAATTACATTATTTACATAATCAATTGGATTTCTATATAAAAGGAAAGAAGCTAAATATGGAAATACAAATATTCTCAACAGCAATCAATGAGGTGGTGTAGGAGTAATGACTAAAATGAGAGTATAACAACCACCTAGTCCACTAGGTGAGGTCGATTACATGGATCACATGATGCAATTGAGTTCTATAATTATGGTAATAAGGTAAATTGTAATTATGTTAATTAGCTAACTGGATATTTTGTAAATATTTTGTAACTATTGTTATTATCAATATAAATATATGCTCCATTGTGTAGTTGAAACACACATTCTATCAATGCTCTTTCATTTTTTATTCTCTTTTAACAATTTCAGTAAAAAATAAGATGTTTTAAAATATTATTTATCACTAGATCTCTTTTATAAATAATTTTTTTGAAGTTCTTTTTTATCTCCCTTTACCCTTTTTCACTAGACTAAACATTCATGTACTCTCTTCATTGATGTCTCTATTGGTCTTGTTTGCACATGTTCAAATCATCTTAACTGATTTTCTGTCATTTTTTTTTCAAAAGAGCTTCTGAGGCAGCTTATGGTTTGTAAGCATTAATGATACAAATAGTGTCTGATGCAACCAATAACTTCAAAGATAATATTGTGTTGTAGGTGGATGCATGAGTACATTTATAATCTCATATTATAATACAAATAGAACTAGTCATAACTACAAATGTATCAATCAAATCTTTAATTATAAGGTAATTGCTATTTACATATTCTAACATGTTAATTTGCTATCTAACAACTATAATTATATATTCCAACATGTCTAATTACAACTTGCAGATATTTGCAGTGCTATTAGGAGGGATATCTATTCTCCGATGTGGTGTAACTGTGGAACAACTTACCAAGTATGTACTATACTGTGAGTGGTTGATTTATGCTACTTGGAGGGTCACAAACAGCTTAACATCATTACTACAGTCCATTGGAGCATCGGAACAAATTTTCCAACTAATGAATCTTTTACCTAGTGACCAATTCATAGTCAAAGGTAATTGTCAGTCTCCTCTACTCATCAAGTATGGACATGTATATTGTTTAATTGGGCTTCTCACTGAATACAGGTGTGAAGTTGCAAAGGTTAGTGGGGCATATTCAGTTTGCAAATGTATCATTACATGGTTTATGATATATTGAGTTTCTTTATTTTTTGTACAATACATTAGGCTACTCCAGCTGAAAGATTATGATGGATATGGTTCTTTGTAGTTTTGATGGCCTTGTACTGGATCCTGTAAATTAATGCGGCGGGAATAGATCCCTCTTTCATGTTTAAACCATGAAAGCATATATTAAGGAATAGAGAGTCAAGGATATGTTTATCTAAAAGACTCACTGTTTTGTTTGGAAAACAATTGAAATAAATTGGCCGTTGGCCAAGGCTGGTTTCAACAGTACCTATAAAGGAGTCGTTAAGTCATTATGGCGAGCATTTCTAAGACGCATAAGGATAGCAGCATTTATACCTATGTCTATAAGAATAGGATGCCATTAAACCTCTCATAGACATAGGTATAGATGCTGCTATCCTTACGTGTCTTAGAGATGCTCGCCATAATGACTTCAACGACTCCCTTATAGGTACTGTTGAAACCAGTCTTGGCCAAGGACCAATTTATTTCAATTGTTTTTCAAATAAAACAGTGAGTCTTTTAGATGAACATATTCTTGACTCTCTGTTCCTTAATATATACTTTCATGGTTTAAACATGAAAGAGGGATCTATTCCCGCCGCATTAATTTACAGGATCTAGTACAAGGCTATGAACTCTTGTGCTTCTAGAGTCCTTCTCAAACCTCAAAGAAGTAAGACTACTTTATTTATCACTGATATGACGAAAGCTAATGTGTCTCTCCTGAGGATAATCAAGTGGGATGAAGTTTCCCTTCCTGAAAAGTGGGTTTTAGACAAGGCTTCGCCTTGTGTCTTTAGGCCTGCTCCTCAAATTGAAAATATTTCTCAAGATAATTCTAGGAAAGTTGAAATAACCTTTGATAGGAGAAACTCTTTCTCTTCCAGAGTAAATGCTTAAAGCAGTCGTAATAGTTTTGCTTCTGCTAGGAGGTCATTTTCTTACAGATCTCAAGCTTCTAGGACCGAAATCCCTAGATCTATTAATCATGATCCGTCCATAAACCTACAAGGTTTAGACACCTCGTCTAGAATTCCTAGAAATGTATATCAAACCTCTGAAAAAGAAGAAGAAAACCAGAGTATCCAATCTCCAACTTACTCTTCCCTTAATGAGTCTTATAATGTTATCTCATAAATTCATTATAGATAAGGAAACCCTTAGGAAAGATTTCTACTCTGAGAATTGGAAACCTCAAAGAGAGTGGTTCTTTCAAAATTATAAGGGAAAAAATAGATCAGATATCCAAGAGGAATTCTATCAATTTCTCGAAAAAGTCAAACAGAACATCCTATTCTTTAATTGGTATAATGCTTATACCATTCATAATAATATTGATTATCCTTGGCAAGAGGATGTTATTAATACTTCCTCTGCTAATGTTATATCTTGACAAATCAAAAATGGACAAATTGTTCAAAGTGAATATATATATATATATATATACCAACTGGGAACAAATCGTACAACATTCTGATTTTAATGTAAAAACTGGGAAAGATAATGGAAAGTGAAATATAAAGGAGTATGCAAGTAAAACTTACAAAAAAATCTTGTATCTTGTATTATATTGAAGAGAACTAATATAATGTTGATATTGAGAATAAAATTATAAAGAGAGTTTTGGAGTGATAGGTGATGAGAATAATGTTTTCATATGGAAGTTGGCTTGTGTCAAGTCTCTTCTTCCTCTTGAGCTTTTATAGAGAAAGTTTTCTCTGTTCTTAGATTTTTTCTTATTTCTTTCTTTTCTTTAGTCACTTCTTGTTTGTCATAGTAGTCTTATTTTCCTTTTAGTCATTTTTTTCTTTTGCTTTTAGTCACTTTTTGTTTGCCATAGTAGTCTTATCTTCCTTTTAGTCATTTCTTTCTTTTGCTTTTAGTCACTTCTCGTCTGTTATAGATTTTTGCTTTTACTTGTGCTTTTGTCGACACTTTTGTCTTTTGTTATTTTATTTTTATCTTTGAGAAAAAGAAAGATATATTCCATAACAGTCATTTTTATTTTCTTTTGCTAAGTTTTCAAAGTCTTCTAATGGATTTGTACTGTTCTGAGACCGTTCACTTTCTTCTTATATTTTTGGAGATATTAACTGGGTTATCTCATTGAACTCTTTTTCAATTTTTGCTGAATGAAGACTGGCTATTAATCTTTTTTTTTAGGATAACAACTCTTGATTAGCTTTTTTCGAAATAGCTGGTCTTTTTGAAGAGTTCTATGAAACTGGTCTTCCATGATATTGTAACTACTGATTTATTTTTTGTTTGCTTAATAATTTTAAATTGAATTTAGTCCACCATTTTATCTTTATTGACCTTAATAGTAATTGATCTTATTGGATAATATGGTAAACTTATTGACTCTACAGGCCCTACATTCCCAACCAAAACCAATAACGCCAACTGAACTTACCTCTAATAAGTTTACTATATTATCCAAATCAACCAGTTCTAATTACTTTTCTCAAAATGTTGTTAATCCTGATAAACAATATTTTAAAAAAGAAGATTATATCCCCATACTACTATAGAACTAGATTGATTCTCAATACCCAAAAATGAAATAGCCAAAACAATATTTCTTCCATATTGTCATTTTGTACCAACATCCTCCTAGCAAAAACGAGAATTCTATGTGTTAATTCTAGTTGATACTCAATCAATAGAATTAACTCATCATAGAAACCTAGAAACCAAAGAAATCATTTTTTTCAAACTCAAAATAAATAAAATATTAACAATACAAGATTGGAGACAGCCTTTGTTCCATTATAAAAGTTTTACAATAAATTATCAGCTAAAACAATACAATTATTTTGATTATATTGCAGCTTAGAGAAATATTTTGTATTTCAGACTAACTACTCATTCATGGTTTATCAGGTTTAGAAAAGAAATATTGTTAAAATTTCCAAAATGGTTCTATTACTGGTATCATGATTTTGGAGCAGAAACAAAAATATTTCCAGAAGAAGTCAAAGTTTCTTTACAACATTTTTAAGAAAAAACAAATTTACTCGAGTGTCAAGTTTTATCCTTTGTAGCCAGCATGGGTATAACTTGGACAGTTATGTGGGAGTATGATTCGGCAAAGCTTCATGAACATAAAACAATTCAATTACTAGTAAGGTCAATAAAAATAAAATGGTGGACTAAGTTCAATTTAGAATTATTAAGCTAACAAAAAATAAATCAGTGGTTACAATATCATGGAAGACCAGTTTCACAGAACTCTTCAGAAAGATCAGCTATTTCGAAGAAAGCTAATCAAGAGTTTTTATCCCAAAAAGCAAGATTAATAGCCAGCAAAAAAAATTCAATGAGATAATCCAATTAATATCTCTAAAAATATAAGAAGAAGGTGAACGGTCTTAGAATAGTCCAAATCCATTTGAAGACTTAGCAAAAGAAAATGAAAATGACTGTTATGGAATATATCTTCCTTTTTCTCAAAGATAAAAATAAAACAAGAAAAAATAAAAGTGTCACAAAAGTACAAGTAAAAGCAAAAATCTATGGCAGACAGGAAGTGACTAAAAGCAAAAGAAAGAAGTGATTAAAAGGAAGACAAGACTACTATAGCAGATAAAAAGTGACTAAAAGCAAAAGAAAGAAATGATTAAAAAGAAAACAAGACTACTATGGCAGACAAGGAGTGATCGAAGAAAAGAAAAAGATAAGAAGGAATGCAAGAACAAATAAAATTTTCTCTATAAAAGCTCAAGAGGAAGAAGATGCTTGACCCAAGCCAACTTCCATATAAAAACATTACTCTCATCACCTATCATTCCAAAACTCTCTTTGTAATTTTATTCTCAATATCAACATTGTATCAGTTCTCTTCAATATAATACAAGATTTTTCTGTAAGTTTTACTTGCATGCTCTTTTATATTTCACTTTCCATTATTATCTTTTCTAGTTTTTACATTAAAATCAGAATGTTGTGCGATCTGTTCCCAGTTGGTATATATATATAAAAGCTGCAGAATGTGATATATTTGAGAAAAACAAAGGAATGTCTAGAAAAGCTGAAATAAAGAGATTTAGACAATAAAGATAAGTATATAACAATGAAAGTCAAGGAAATAAACAAGTTTAAGCCTCTAACTCAATTCCTTTAAAGTAAGAACATTAAAAATCAAATAAAATTAGAACTGAATGAGGAGAGATTTAGACAAAATAAATAAATAAAAGAAACAAAATAGAAACTGAAACCTATAGCCAAACAGAAGACTTGGCAGATAAGAACCAAAAAAAAGAAAAGGACAATGAGAAGAGAACAACTTGCAGAACAATAGCAAAACAGAGAAAGATAGAGCAAATGGCAGGAAATGCAGAACAAGGGTCAAAGAACAGTGGTTTGCCAAAAACAAGCTGGGAAACACCAGCAGCTCACTGGAAAGCCACTAGAGAGTAGTGGGTTGATGGGTCACACAAAACTAAAGGGTTAGAGAAAAGATGGTGCAAAATTGTGAAGAGGCACGATCGGTTTTTTTAACCCCATTTAAAGCCTTTTTAGTTTCAACCCAAAAACCCCAAAATAACCCCCCCCCCCTAAATGGTTTTGCAACGTTTTTAAATTTTGAACGTTTTTGGATTTTTGATAAATCTCCCAGGACGGACAAAGATGCATGCAAAAAGCCACAATTTCCGCTGCTACAGAATTTGTGAGGAAGAACGAAGATGTCGAGGACAGAAGATAGAGATGTGGAACAAAGAGAGAGATGCAGGTCGCATAAAAGGAAAAAGAAAGAAGTTATTAGGACTGGGTCGGTTCGCATAGTGGCTGCCACTGTAAACCCTCCATTTTCTGCCATGGTTGTGGTGGTTTGGGTGGGAACTGCCAGCGACATCAGCCATGCTGCCGCCATGGCTGTTTTTTAACAACACTGCTTCTCAAGAAATGAATCAACAATAATCATTGCCATTTGATTATTTGAGAGCAACATTTGTTAATTATTCTTCACTTATTC